CAAATGAATGCCTCGATTTCATTTTATTTCCAAATGAATGCCTTGATTTCACTTTATGGCCAAGTGAATGCCTCGATTTCATTGTATTTCCAAATGAATGCCTCGATTTCACTTTATGTCCAAATGAATGCCTCGATTTCAATTTATGGCCAAATGAATGCCTCGATTTCACTTTATGTCCAAAATGTGTTCTAATAGCATATCAGCATAGACGTTAATGTTGAAAATACATATTTATCTCTTCATATATGCTGCCATTGGGCTTGCGATGGTCGAGAGAAGAATTTGTAAGAAAATAGATATTTTAAAAATGTTATTTATATTATCCATTGTAGAAATAGTTACAATAAATTGAGTGGATCATGCATATTAGGTTTCTTTGAACATTATCGACTTGTTTGCCCTGCTGTCAATACACACTAATCCAAAATACACTACACAAGAGGGTTATGAATTCTTCTGAATGCAGTGATGTCAGCTAAACACACCGCACAAGGGCACTATTCACTCTTCTGATTGCAGTGATGTCACATTAATGAAGATAAATATTTAATTATGAATAATTCAATTTCAAGTAGAAATCATAGGTATTGAGAAAAACTTAAAATTCATTATATGCTAGAAACGAAGATTAGTTCCATATCGAGAGGTTTGATATCATTAGTCGTATGCACGATTTTGATGTCAGAATATGCAGCTAATCACTAGAATTAACTAATAAGAAAGAATTTTGGTGGTAATGTTCAATTGATGTATATTTTAAACGTCTCGTAAAATCATTTATTGTTAATCTGCTGTAGACATTATAGAAGAAGATGCTACAAATATACATACATTTATACATAGTTTGGCTAGTCACCTAATTCAAAAAACTATATGTAATTATTATTATATCTAAAGTTGAATAAAATGTGTATCGCAGTAGCATTTCTCCGCCTAAGAGATAAAGTGCCCATACCAATGATAAATAACACTAGTGTTTTTTGGAGCCATATCTCTTCAGCAACGATGGCATCTACGAACTCTTTCAAGTTCACCGCAAATTTGTTTTTGATAGCCCGAACTGGTTTTTAACCGTGTTTCTCGAGCAAAAAAATGGGCCTTTATAAAATCAACATCAAGAATGAAATTACAGATATTTTAAAGTGATGTCTGTTGTGCCAAGTTTCCATGCATCTTTAATATCTACGAGAAGTTATTTCTGTGCGATTTCCTTTAACTTATATGAAATGGCCATGACACATACCTGAATGATTGGTTTCGTATCAAAGAAATGTTTTGCATTTAATAGTTATCGAGTCGCTATCGTGAGCAGCATATGAAAACAATATGAGGAGGCAATACTGACCTATATAACCAGTATGATACTATTTATTCTTGTTGGCAAGGTCCTGCATTTCCTTACGTAATGTACAATAAGTTGTATAACTTTATATCAGCGTGACTTAATTCTTTCAAGCAATGGATCATATCTGAATATTAGTTATTTTTGCATTTTTTAAAAAATTTCTTGTATGGAGACTAAATGCATCTTGTACAGTTAATGAAGTATGAACCATTAGTACACTTCTTTGTTTGCCAATCGTCATCTTCGATATTTGCCAAATTCAAATTTCCACTGTCTTCTAAAAATTCGTACGTTTGTTGTTTCCAATCAGTTTTTCACATATATTTCTACATTATCTTTTATTTGTTTTATTTTTATAACAGCATACACTGCAGTACCTTTAAAAGGAAGTAATAGGTGATGCTAAATTTTATTCTATGTGACATTCAAACCATAAATATGACCTGACGATCTATTAAATTAATGCTAATGGAATATCTATTTTGTAAACAATCAAAATTATCCAGGAACCATTCTCATTCATCCAATCATTCCCAAGACTGACACCTTTCTGAAAAGTGTTTCGTTAATATAACTTTCAACTCTAAGAATCTGCTTGTATAGATTTGGTATGATAATAACAGATAATTAATTTTAGAGATAGCTCAACTCTTTATCACATTTATGCTTCCAAATGGAGTCAAACCCATTTATTCAACTGAATTAGCAGATTCTTAATTTTGCGGATGCTGGATAGATAATTAGGATTTGTAATTTTTCCCGGTTAGTTGAAAAAATTATACTTAAGATAACCTAAGCACATTATTTTAATATCTGGACATTATGTCGTGTTTCTAACTGCTGGGTTTCCTATTCAAACTTTCTTTGATTTTCAAACTTCAAACTAAGGCCAGAAAATTTGGAGTATTGATGTAAATGATGTTAAACATACATTGGAGATTTCTCTGTGCCATCAAGAGTAAGTGATTTAACGTCAGCAAAGTTAGAGAGAAAATTGGTTTATTTTCTATTGATTTCACCAATATTGTTCGTTATCATATAAAATAAAATCTCTTCATGCAGAATATAAATACATGGGGATAGTGGATCCTCTTGTCTACATACTCTTTATTCATCAAACAAAATGATCATTAATAATTACAAAACATTTGATGTTTTGATAGAAATGTTTTATCCATTTTATCATATGTTCATCAAAATGTAAACAATGCATAACTTAATCAATAAGTGACCATGCAAGCGAGTCAAATATTTTTACAAAATCAGTTAAAAGAAGCAGTCCAGGAATATTGTGCTTTTTCGTGCAAACATTGCATCATACAAGTTGCCAATATTCTCTCCAATGAATCGTCCTTTTAAAAACCATGTTTGATCGTTATATATAACTGTGAGAAGCACGGTTTTAACCTTACATGCAATACATGAAGAAGAAATTGTGTAGGATGCGTTTAGAAGTGATCCAAGATATACTGCCTAGTTTTCATCATCTCTGTTATAAATATAATAACTCTTTTCTGAGTGGAAGATAATTCACCAGTTCATACCCACAATTAATATTCCTTATTAGAGATTGTCCAATACCATTCTAAACAAATTTGATAAATTTTACAGTAAAATATTAAAATAAAATAGAGACAGTCATACAAATAATTATATTGTTATAAAAGATATACAATTTATCAATTTAAAAATCTATATGTATTTTATAAAATTTTATATAGCGCAATTGTAGTAAGGCGAATATAATACAAATTATCTAATTTATGAATGCAATACGTTTATTTTATGAGTCTATTCAAATCTCCATGCACAATGTATATTGGCATGAAAGAAAAATCGAGTAGAGAGTAATTATTGCTATTAAAAGGTGTTGAAATATTAGAGGAAAACTGAGGATCTCTATCATTTTTAATATGAAAGCTATGATTTTTCATTCTCTTAGAAACTTGTTGAAGTGTTTGTCCAGTATATTGCATATTACATTTTTACAGGTAATCAAATCAATCGCATTATTTGATACACAGTTAGTGTTATAACGTAGAGAAAATACCTCCTTTGTATTAGCGCTGCTGAAAGAAGCACTTTCTCTTATGCTACCACACTGAGAACACCGGTGTCTATTACATGTAGATGACGAGAAATGACTTTTTTCCCCTGTCTGTTTAGTTTTAATTGGAAAATCTTTGAAATTCTTATGTCTTCTATAAGCAAGAATTGGTTTATTGTTGTACGTGATTTTACGCTGCTTTTATTTAATAAATTTACGAGACTCTCCAATGTTTATTAATTATAAGGCCTATATTGGGTAATGGAGGATTATAATGTATTGTGAAATGAATTATATTTTTCTCTATTGTACAATTTGCTGTATTTAAAGCCTCATGTTGATTCAGATTACGGGCTTTGAACACCGCAGAATGAATTATATGTCAAGGATAATTTCTGTTTTGGAAATATGTTTTTGAATCATTCAACGAATTTTATAATTGACAATCATCAGAAATTATTCGACTGTATCTCTTGGCCTGGCGTTTTGGTATACCGTTTTTACATGACATTGGGTGGCATGAAAAAATATTCCACATACTGGTTGATATTAGTTTCCCTGACATGAACATTTGTAGATATAGTGTCATTAATATTTTTAATTACAGTTACATCTAACAATGAAACCAGTATAAGTAAATTTAATCGTCAGATGAAAACGATTCAAGCGATCATTGATTTTTTTCTGTTCTTAAGTTGAATGGTTCCAGGTCATAAATATCTCTATAAAACTCTAAACCAAACGATGGATTAAACTTTTAGTTTTAAAGACAACAAAATTTCTAATTTATACATGGAGAGAAATGGAGCCATACGATTACCCATTGCTGTACCGAATATTTGGATGTAATTTCTATTTTGAAATTAAAAATAATTATTTTCCAAGAAAAGTTTATTATTTTAGAAATATCTTCACTAGATAGTGTGCTATTATTAAGACATCTAAAATTTTAAATTTATAATTTCTAAAATTCTACAGTAAATCCATGAGAACCCTGATTGTTTTTCATTAAGCGCTTTTTTTAAAAAAAAACATTTGTAGCTTCTGTATAAGACTGCACTTGATACGAGGCCATTTGAGGAAAGTTTCTGTAGATCATTCATTATTGGGATGTCTGAGTAATTTCAAGATCGACTGGACCAACTTCACGCTTGTGATATAAATCCATAAAAAGAAAGTCTTGCTGCCTCCAAAATTTGTTGATGACTGTCTGTTAAGGAACCATTACTTTTAACAAGTGGTGGCATTATATTAATTACATAATTTATATTTTCTAAATTGCACAAATATTTTGTCACTTTTTCTACTTAAATTTATATCGTCTAGACCGCACCCTTTCTCCTTGCATATCGGTATTCATATATCTTCTTCGTTTTTTCCTCCAGCTCTAATACTTCACTGAATCTGTTTCTCTCTTCTAAACTGCTTATATCTGCATTTAGTAGCTTTTTGGGTTTATCTTATTTTTTGTTTTAAAAACGAAAATGGTGCATATAAAATTGTTGTTCCTCTCATTTCTAGTAGAAGTATTTTAAAGAAACATTGATCGTTTATGCATTTAAAATCATGTATTGTTATAGTCTAAAAAGCATATAATTGCCGACCGATCCAGTGGCTTAGTGGTTAGAGCTTCCGCTTCGGATGCGGGAGGTTGTAGGTTCGATCCCCAGTCGAGTCATCCCAAAGACTTACAAAAATGGTACTAACAGCTACCTCGCTTTACGCTCAACATTTAGAGATTCGATTTAGGACTGGTCATCCTAGTGTCAGAATAATGTGACTGTATGGGACATGTCTGCGGAATGATTCCTCATTAATATACATCACTATAACCTGCAGAGATTGTAGCGATCTGACTGAGAAATTATGAAAGCTACGTTAAATATCTACATAGGCACACGATTTCAATTATTTGCCAGTTACATTGCTTCAATTTCAGTTATATGGCTTTTGTTTTAGCTTATAATGCAAGTATGTAATCATTTCAAGACAAAATCAAAGCATACTCGTCCACCGGACAAACAAAACTTCGTTTTACTTAAGAGCGACCTTTTAAATAAAATCATGTTAAGGTTTTATCTGACATTTTTGATGGAACATCACAACTAAAAGATCAAAAGCTGATCTGTTCCATGCTAATGCTGTAAGAAAAACAAAGGTATCTGTTTAATGAAACCTAAAGCTGACTTGAGTTTCAGCTTCATTCTCAGCATTCACTACGATATCAGGTTTCTGAAAAAACTGGGGCCGAGCAAGAAGGTTTTGTTCTGAGTTCGGTTCAAAGAAACAATTACGTAACAAATGGATGAGGAATAACTATTTATCTCAGTTGTGATTTGAACGAAAAAATTTCAATGTGTTTTTCTCTACTCAAATTTTCTGTTACATTCTAATTACAAATGAGGTTAACAATATTTAGGAATCAAAATATACTCTTTCAATCTTATGCTCTTCTTGACATCGAATACCTAGTTACTTTTGCTTATGTTTTTGCTCTTAAAAATGCAAAACTAGCACTTATGAAAAAAAATCTACAAAAAAGTAAACACTTATTCTTAGCGCAGACTATTAGACTGAAAGTACCAAATTCCTATCTTAGACTCAACCCGAGTTTCTGCCCTTACACATAGTCTTGGTTGGTCTTAAGACTAAAGGAAGTTAGAAAAGGGACATGGATTCAGTTTGTTGACCATCGTATACATATTATGTCTAGTGCCAATTATAATGGATGCATCGAGATTTACAAATTACCTCCATATATATATATATATATATATACACACACACACACACACACACACACACACACGTGCCTTCATTCAATAAAAGACGTGGCTGCGTCAATCGACACCATAAAATCAACATAGGTCTGGTCCTGGCCTTCTTTTTCAATTCTTAAGTAGATGATATTCACAAAGATTATCATATGTATAGTATTTGCACTGTATCAACAATATACCACGAGATCTATAAATATTTTATTAATAGGAAATGGAGCATACCACGAGTGGTATATCATTCATACAGCGTATGTACTATGTATATATTTTATTTATATCACACACATGCACATGGACTAATATATATGCAAACATTCTCATGACGATAAAATTATCATGTTTTGCATGCCTTTGCCATAAACATTAGGCTATGACGTAGAGAAAATATGATAATTTTTGCCTACGACAACTATCTGAGTAACAACTTGTTGCTTTCTTATTTCTTTAATGCAGTCTTTTAATAACACATACTAGTCCTACTGATTTTATGTGACGCTGTTAGATTTATATAAATAATCGAATGGTTGAATCCAGCGACTCTGTGTTTCTGGTACATCTGGGTTTGCAGTTTGAGTTAGCAATTTGCATCTAAGCGGATTAGCTTTTGTGTTGTTGGGACCACGAAAAAGTGCGCTAAAACATGTTTGGTATGACGTGGTAGGCCTGGTTAATGAAATGAGCCCAAAATAATTTAATGTGACAAAGATTTGTACAGATCGGATATGTTAAAATATTTGATATTCGATACCGTATTAATTCGTTTTTGTGACTCTACTTTGTGTAGATTTATTACTCTATTTTATGGAACTAGATTATGTGTTTGTTATATTTTTATTGCATTTAGTTTCGTTAATAACTAAAGCCATTAAATAGTAGAGGCTTTCTTAATCCGTACACCATGACAATGAAGAAACAAGCTCCGACAATCTTTACACCATGACGACACTATAGTAATATAATCTCCTAAAGATACCCTATAATCGTGTCCTTTACGCCTCCCCAATTCGTTGTTTTAATAGCAACGCTATTTCCGGTAATTTCGCATTAGTCTTTCATACGTCGCTTAACTAAGGTTTTATTATCGCAAATGGGTTGTACTTCTGGAAATGAATTATTGGCTTCCATTCCATTAGTAAAGTCGACATGGCTAATATATGTAACCGAAATGTTTCTTTTTCTCATTTTTGAGCAAAAACCAAAGTCAGTTGTTGCTTGCATGACTTAAAAATTTGATTGCTTTTATTTTAGCTTCATTCACTTAAATATATATATATATATATATATATATATATATATATATATATATATATATATATATATATATATATATATATATATATATATATATATATATATATATATATATATATATATATATATATATATATATATATGTGTGTGTGTGTGTGTGTGTGTGTGTTATAACTTATTCAAAGGTTGTATAAATACAATTAAAATGTATCATGTCCATTTGTATTCATTGCCATCAACAGTATCCTTACTGAAGACAGACTCTGCTATATGCCAGCTCTCTTCTCAGCATGAGTTGCAGTGTTTCCTTGAAATACACAGTTGACGTTCTTAATGTTACAAGCAGCTTGCGTCCTTCATCACTGTAAAAAGCGTCATCACTTTGGATTGACTTTTTCTTCCCCAAATGAATGCCTCAGAAACCAGATTCAAAATCTTTAAATGTAAAAAGTCTTGCATGCAGCACTGAAAAGCAAAACAATGCCATGAAACTCTGGCTAATTAACGAAGAATATGTTGTAATTGCTCGACCTGGTCAGTCCAATTAAATCTAATCCAGTGTCAACATATCTATTCAAAGCCTTGGATGTCTCTTTTCGTGAATGATACATGACAAGCTCAATATCTACAATGCATTTAATGAGGAATTTGTATTCTCTCTCACACGTTATATATATATATATATATATATATATATATATATATATATATATATATATATATATATATATATATATATATATATATATATATATATATATATATATATATAATGTTGAAATCATAATATACTTCATATTAGATATGATGCCCATTACGCCAAGAACGTAAGACCAATTCATAAAGTTTGCATGGAAGAGCTCGATTTTATAAGTTAAACTGTTTCTCTATCCAGCGTATCCTCTAAAAGCCTTTTTGAAAACTATTTACAATCAGATTATCGTCAGTGCAACATTATATATCTTCTCTTTTCGATTAAATCTATCTCTATTTCCATGTGCAGGTCTATATGTCCGATATTTTTGTATGTTTTTCTATCATTCGTCTCGTAAGATTACTTTTGTGTTATTATGCAGACCTTGATTCTTTAATCCGGTGCTTGACCGTTTCTTATTCTTCCTATCGAGACATTTAAGTGTTTGAATTACGATCAATAATTTTAAGAAAACAACAGCAGACGTCCTACCAAGCTTGTTCAAGCTTGTTAAAATTAACATAGTATTGGATATCAACTCTGGTCTGATTTATTTGCTACACAATTGATCCTTCCCACAGCACGACCAAATCACATATTTATGGAAAGGTCGATATTTTCATAAAATAAGCATTAGTCTTGTTTAAGGTATTGTAACCATGATTCCAGAGAAAAGGATGCTGACCAAATCACATATTTATGGAAAGGCCGATATTTTCATAAAATAAGCATTAGTCTTGTTTAAGGTATTGTAACCATGATTCCAGAGAAAAGGATGCTGACCAAATCACATATTTATGGAAAGGCCGATATTTTCATAAAATAAGCATTAGTCTTGTTTAAGGTATTGTAACCATGATTCCAGAGAAAAGGATGCTGACCAAATCACATATTTATGGAAAGGTCGATATTTTCATAAAATAAGCATTAGTCTTGTTTAAGGTATCGTACCCATGATTCCAGAGAAAAGGATGCTGACCAAATCACATATTTATGGAAAGGTCGATATTTTCATAAAATAAGCATTAGTCTTGTTTAAGGTATCGTACCCATGATTCCAGAGAAAAGGATGCTGACCAAATCACATATTTATGGAAAGGTGGATATTTTCATAAAATAAGCATTAGTCTTGTTTAAGGTATCGTACCCATGATTCCAGAGAAAAGGATGCTGTTGGCTTTGTGAACATCTTATGCCGAATTAGATTGTAATGTGTTAACATAATTTCTTGAAGACATATTAGCAAATAATTTTCAGGTTTAATCAACTGATAATGGAATATAACATTCCAACAACTTATGTTTCAACGCAGGCATTAAACATTTAAAGATGTTTAAATTTTGCTGACAGAAGAAACATGTATGTTTACCTATGAAAGTCCGATTGGCCTGATATGGTCGTTGGCTCACAATTTATAAGTCTGAAACTGTTCTCCCGCTACTCTGTTTTTTACAACTAGAATCTATTCATTTGTATTGTATTCATTTGAATTGTATTCATTTGTATTGTATTCATTTGAATTGTATTCATTTGAATTGTATTCATTTGAATTGTATTCATTTGTATTGCTTTCATGCTGACGCGAAAATGCCAAACTATTGATAATGCCCAGAGTCATGACCGCTATATGAAGAATTTCGCGTTGAATTATTAAAAACGTGCAGTCTTATTTTTCAAAGCTAAAGTCCATGTAATTGAAATTAACATTTGGTTTCTAGTAGAGAATTTTCTTTCATATGTTGCTTTTAACAAGGATCAGATATTTCCTAAAGCATTGTGCATTTAAATAGTTTTTTTTTTGCTGAGTGAGATGCATATCTTCTTTATATATATATATATATATATATATATATATATATATATATATATATATATATATATATATATATATATATATATATATATATATATATATATATATGTGTGTGTGTGTGTGTGTGTGTGTGTAGGTGT